GCGGCCCACGGAACGGCAAGCTGAGCAGTTTGCGGGGACGGTTGGAGCGGCCCACAGAACAGCGAGCGCAGGAGTTTGCGGGGACGGCTGGGGGAGTAGAGTGGAGCAGAGTGGCTGGTAGAGCGGAGCAGTTCGTGGGGCGGCAGGAGCGGCTCACGGGATGGCTGGTGGAGTAGAGCGGCTCGTGGAAGGCTGCAGCGGAACCCCACGGAGAGGCGGGCAGTCGGCCTTGGACCACGTAAGGTGCCCCTTAGCACCCTGTGCGCCCCTCTCTCCCCCCCGCATTTCCACCCAGGTTGGGGGGGGGGGTAAAACCTTGCAGATAAACTTTTGAACTCTGGGGCTGCACTGACCAGGGGCAGAGACTTTTGGTTTGTTGGACTTTTTGGGACTTTGGGTGATTCTTGGGTTGCTGGATTCAAGAACCAAAGGGAAAGGACACGGCCCAATTTGCTGGGGTGGGTCTTTGCTCATGGTTTGGTCTATGAACTCTAGTTGTGGTGTTTTCCCAATTTAATGCTGATGTTGTTTACCTCATGTTATCAAACATTTTCTGCTACTCCGAGACTCTGTGCTTGCGAGAGGGGAAGTATTGCCTCTTCGAGGTGTCCAGGGATGTGTGTAAGATTTTCCCAGGTCACTGGGTGGGGGCTCGAGCTGGTTTTGCGTTACGTTGTTGGGAGGGGACCCCTATGTATTGAACCCGGCCCTTGCTGCTATCAACTCGGCTGGCAGAAGGGCTACACATGCATCATGAGGCACTGGCTGGTAGAATGACAGCAAGAGGCTGCATACAGCTGTCTCTGAGCTCTGCCCCTCTCTGTTCTCCTCCAAAACAGTCCCTCTTATCCCCTCCCTCAGCATTTTTTACAGGCTGTGAGAGCGTTTTTCCACTTTCAGGGAACACAAAAGCTCTACTTGCTCATTAAGCACTGACAGCGGAGAGGACCCGCTGACTTGCGCTCACCAGAATTACAGTTGTTTGAGTTTCCCTGCAAGAATTCTACAAAATGAATCAATAATGTGATGAATTCCAGATAAGTGGCAGTTTATTGAGGAAGGGTAAATTTAAAAGGAAACAGTTGAGATTCTGGTCACAGAGCAAAACTGGAGAGGGAAGAATGTGATGACCAGGTAAAAGAAAGCAAGTATGTCTCCTCTTATTGGTGGGACAACAGGATTCCACTGATATTGGGTGAAAACAAAAGTGTTTGTTGATTGGACAGCAATATTTACTCTTTCATATCTAGGCCTTTCAGACCTATGAGCAGAGATGGTGTTTGAGGAAAATCAGTCCATTAGCTTGAGAAAGCAGCACATGGATATAAACACACTGATTTGCTGTATCCGCAGAAACTGCCCATAACTCCCTGGCATGGATGTGCCATTGATTCTCCTGAGTTATAAGCAGCCTCCTGTTCACAGCTCCCATTTAATTGAATAGGTAAAACTAGACACCCTGTACTTCCAAAATGACCCCTGTCTAGGATTGCTAGCTGTATGGCTCCTGCCATACAAAGTGATCTTCTGGTTGCTGGATCCTAAGAGGCCCGTCTACACTGCAAAAAGCGATGTTACAAGACAATATTTCCCCGACCACTTTATAGAAAATATTGTTCTTGCTGTGTAGATGGCACCAAACAGTGTTATACATGTTGCCAAAGCCCTGTAAAGCTCAATGTGTTTCCCCTTCCATTCAGATGAGGCCAACCTGTTTTAAGAAGATCCAGGGACTATCTTGTTATAACATGATGCCGAGGGACGGTTCTTGGTTGTTATTTCTAAAGGAGAGAGGCCTATGGTTTGTCAGGCTGAACAACAGGTGTTGCTTGTTAACTGGTTGTAAGCCCTGTTAGTCAGCTGAGGAGTCAGTGCAGGAACTCTCTGTGAGTCCCTATTCCAGGGAGAGGAGAAGCTGCTGAGATGACACTGGGGGAGGAACGGGGGAAGTAGAGAGCGAGGAGTGGCAGGGGGAAGAAGAGGGCCAATTCAGGGCCCTCAGCTCTGATAGAAAGGGGAAACTGTTCATTTTTGTAGGATTCTGTCTCATTTGTGTAATGCAAGAGCAATGTCTGTAACTAGGACCCTTACCTTCGTGTGAGTGTCCAGGGTTATTGCCACCTGGCATTTTTCTCCCCAGAATGGAATCTGCCAACAGACAGGTAGATTACTGTGACCGAATGCACCCCTGCATTCGCACTCTACACACTAGTGTAATGGTCTTTGTACAAAATATGCCTTGTGAGGTATCATTTGAAAACTAATAGCTTGTTGGTCAGTAATGTGTGTAGCAACCTTATATGTAAAGTTATGAATTCTTCCTGAATTATGTTAGTGGCACAAGTTCAAACCCATATAGCTACCCATTTGGCAGAATTGGTCAAGCAGGCCTGTCTTAAACAAAAGAAGGTGTGTTTAACTCAATTTACATATAAGTAATAAACAAGGTCCTTAAAACAGCAAGAAGGAGACAAGGCAAATCTGCATTTTAGCAAAACACAGTAGGGAACCTCTTTCACCACCAGATTCCTTGTCTCTGTGCTCACAGCAGCCCTGAACTTTTACTCAGGGTAACTCTCAGGAAAACGCATTTCAAAGGGTGACAGACCTATAAAAGTGAGGGGCAAAAACATCCCAGGTTCTCTCCCTATCCATCTCTCTCTTGCGCCTGAGAAGGCAAAAGAAACAGCCTATGGACTTGGGAGCAGATCCTGACCTGAAACTTGGTCAGCAGTATTACTGGAAATTTGTGGTAAGAATTTCGCCTTGGACCAAGCCTAGTTTAAGTTTAGTACTAGGAAGCATTTTATCTTTATTTTACTAGTGATCGTTTCTGATTTTAATGCCTTATACTTGTACTTATTTAAAATCTACCTCTTTATAGTTAAATAAACTTAATGTATTCTTTAATCAAAGCTAATCCAGTGTTGTGACTTGTTTGGGTAACACCATTTAGGGTAGCAAACTATTGTATATTGATCCCCTTAGAGGAGCAATGAACCTAATGTATCTGGACTGTCCAGGAGGGGGCTGGACAGTACAGAACACATTTTGGGGAGAAAATCTGGGACTGGGAGTGTATTAGGGTCACTCTGCAAATGGTACCAAGGCTGGTGGAATTCAGAGTGTGACTGATGTGTGGCTGGCAGGCTGCAGCTATACACAGACATTCAGGGTGTTACCTGCATGCTGGAAGACTATTTGTGAGCAGCGCAGTTGGGAGCTACAGCAGCAAAACATTGTGATGCACTCGAATTGCAGGACGGGGGTGACACAACCCCTCACTGGTCTGGATTGCACTCCCCAATGTCATAATTACACAAACCAGAGGGACAAAAGGAAAAAGGCCTTAAATACTAGGGGGTCCTTAGACAGGGCCCATTTTCTTCCCACCTGAAGTAAAGCCCATGCTGTCTACAAATGTCCCTGCAAACCTCACATTCCAACCTCCTCATAAACTTCCAACCCTTTTCCTAAAACCTCCTTTACCCTCATCTTCCTACCCCACCCCCAAGCAAAACTGACTGCCACACACAGTTTATCCCAATCCCTATCTCCCCTGTGTGCCGTATCCCACACAGGAAAAACTACCTCCCCACAAACAGACTTCTCATCTCCCACAAACTCCTGGCCTTCTCTAACTCTAACTCCCTTCCCACTAGGAAAGATCCCAAGATTTGAACTCAGCTTTCCAGCACCCAGGCCTTGTAACACCTGTCTCCAGACTTCCCTATCCCACTCAGACTCCCTCTCAGCAGAAAAGGCTCCCATACTTTGCGCTGCTCTTCTTTCACTGACTTCTGTAAAGTCTGTTACTAGCAGAATAATGAGGGGTTTTCTACCTGGAAATTTACCAAAATTTATATCCTGGAATATTCCAGAAAAGTTATTTTTGTATGAGCATCTACGTGGACCCTCTTATTCCAGAATAGGCATGTCCATACAAGAACTGATACCAAAATTATAATCAACCCAGAATAACTATTTTGATACAATCCCACTATAGAAAAGTCCTTAAAGGAGGAAGGGAAATGCACAGAAATCCTGGGGAGGGGATGGGGGGAGAAGGAAACGCACCACAGTTCCTTAGGGCTTGGGGAAATGGGTAATATAGCGCCCTTTCCACAAGTGCTTGAAGTGTACTTTGACTGAGGGTATGTCTACACTACAGGATTAATCCAAATTTAGATAATTCGAATTTGGGAAACAGGTTGTATAAATTCGATTGTGCGCGGCCACACTAAGCACATTAATTCGGTTTTTAACCACATTAATTCGGTGGTGTGCGGCCACACTACCCCATTACTTTAACCACAGTAATTCGGTGGTGTGCGGCCACACTAACCCTAATTCGAATTAACAAAATCGATTTAGGCACTACTCCACTCGTCGAGGTGGAGTACAGAAATCGATTTTAAGTGCCCTTTAATTCGAATTAACTGGCTCTGTAGTGTGGACGGGTGAAGGGTTAATTCGGATTAACGCAGCTAAATCCGAATTAAAGTCGTAGTGTAGACCAGGCCTCAGTTACTCACGTACAGGTGCTAAGCAGGCTCAGCCCCCAAGGGGGGATGGGATGCAGAGTGGTAAAAAGGCTCAGCTCCCCTCACTCACCTTTGAACAGCTCCACATGCTTGAACTCAAAGGGGATGTTGTTCTTCTTTGCGAAGATGTAGACCGCTCGGCAGGGCTGGGAAAGCAGATCCAGGTAGAGCTCCAGCCCCATCCTGCCTGCTGGGCACAAGGAGCAGCAGAGAGAGAGAGAGAGAGGCTTGTCTTAATGTGGCTTTGGCAGCAGCAACAGACAGGGCGGACAGAAATTTCTCTCCAAGGCAGACAGTGGCTTAACTTTGAACCAATAGGGTGAGCCCTTTCCCTGGACTGCCACGTGTTCCTCTAGGGGAGGTAGAAGGGGCAGGGACTGCAGTAGGTGGGTGGTAACTTTCCCTCTCATTCAGAAAAGGACTAGACATTTATACATATAACACTGAGAACAGCCACTGTTATGTTACATGGGGTAGCAAAGTACAAGGAATATCAATAAACCTTCATCTTCAGGCCAACGACTAACTGGTTAAGCAGCTGGCATACTGTGACCACTGCTTGATACCCAGATCACTGCTACCTTGTAATCCCCCATCTGTTTGTTTTATCCCATGTGTCTCTCATCATAGATTGGAAAGTCTCTGGGGCAGGCACCAACTTTTCATGATATCTATGTACAATGCATCGGACAATACAGTGGCTGATCACACAATACAAATAAATAATAATAATTAATTAACTGCATGGAGTTAGGAAGACCTTTCCTTTATGCAGGGGCGGCTCCAGGCACTAGCGCGCCAAGCGCGTGCCTGAGGCGGCAAGCCGGGGGGGGGGGGGGGGCGGCCTGACGGTTGCCGTGAGGGCGGCAGTCAGGCAGCCTTCAGCGGCATGCCTGCGGGAGGTCCGTCGGTCCCGCGGCTTTGGTGGTAATTCGGTGGCGGGTACGCCGAAGGCGTGGGACTGGCGGACCTCCCGCAGGCATGCCGCCGAATCCACGTTACCAGCGGACCTCCCGCAGGCGCGCCACCGAAAGCTTCCTGCCTGCCGTGCTTGGGACGGCAAAAAAAGGTTCTTCCGTAACTGTGGGGCTCTTGTACTTTCCTCTGAATCATCTGATACTAGCCACTGCCAGGAACAGGATACTGGACCAGATGGACCACAGGTGTGATCCAGTGTGGCAATTCCTATTCCTATTAGAATAGTGCCAGCTCCCAACAACCAGCACGTTGACATTGTCCCTGAAAAGGGACCTTCACCCAATTCAGAATGAAGTCTCATTATTATTTCTAACTGCTCTAATCTCTGAAGTCTCTGTAACCCTTTGATTATTTGCTGCTTTTCCATCCCCTTGGGGAAAGCAGCATCAGGTCATTGATCAAAAGCAACTGCAAACCAGGTAGTTCAGCAAACTCAGTAACCAATAGGAGACAATGGGTTGGGAGAGAGGCTAGGATTTGGGAGATCTGGGTCCAAGTCCCTGCTCCATCACAGACTTCCTGTGTGACCATGAGCAGGTCAGTTAGGTGGCAGTGAGGCACCTAAATACCTTTGTAAATCCCATCCTTAGTCTCTCTTTGCCTCAGCTCCCCATCTATAAAATGGGGATAATAATACTTACCTATCATTAACAATTGTTAGGCACTCAGATACTACAGTAATGGGGGATATATAAGTACATAAGATAAATACATTTCCCCTCTACAGTTGTCTAGGACTGGCCTTTGGGACCTAAGAAATCCACTGTCACAGGCCCCTGGTGTTTAGGGGCGAGAGCCCAGACTGATCTGTAGCTTTGTGAGGCCATGCTGCCCAAGGAGTCAGTGGTGGCATCAGAGCTCCGGAAAGTTTCCATCCAGATGGCTGTCTGCAACTGAGACTGCTCCACTGCTAAGCAGCCATTGTGGTCTTTGCTCTCAGGAGGGAGAGCTCAATGACATAAAAGGCGTTTCAGGCTAGTGAACTAAGCACAGGACCGAGAACAGTGATATTGTAGTTAGGGTTTAATCTTGCATGATTAAGGCACATTAAAGGGCTTTCATTTACCTGGATCATCAAGACCTGTACTGCCAGTTCCCAGTATAATAAAGTGTATTTCTAACAGCATCAAATTACAGGCCTGCAACGTGTCTCCACATGCATCACCTGGGTACCTGAGACAAGCAGGACAGACAGAACCGAGTGGGGAGACACTTTGTTTAGGAACACTGGGGGGAGTGTGTGGTCATGTGACCTAGTATGCTTGCTGGCAAAACCTTTAGTAATTAAAAAGCATTATTAATATCTCTAATCAGTTTAATAATTTAACATTTTACTGATTTATATTTCTCTTTAATCAAATAATCACAAAGTATATAGTTATTGTTTTTAATTTGTTTGCTTGTGAGAGTTTGAATTATTTGTGAGTTAAAGTGTGGTAGCCACTGCTTTAGGGCGGTTAACCCTTTGTCTCATTGGAGGCACTACCAAGAAGCTTTTTTCTTTAGCACAACAGGAGGAGGAGTTGGCCATCTAGCAGCAGCACAGCGAAATGAGACCAGCAGGTGACAGAGATTTTGGAACTGTCCAAAGACTGTGAGGTAGGAACATAAGAATAGCCATACTGGGTCAGACCAATGGTCAATCTAACCTAGTATCCTGTCTTCTAACAGTGACTGGTGCAAGATGCTTCAGAGGGAATAAACAGAACAGGGCAATTTATCAAGTGATCCATCTCCTGTCATCCAGTCCCATCTTCTGTCAATCAGCAGTTTAGGGACAACCAAAGCATGGAGTTGTGTCCCTGACCATTTTGGCTAATAGCACTTGCTGGACCTATCCTCCATAAACTTCTCTAATTCTTTTTTTGAACATAGTTATCCTTTTGGCCTTCACAGTATCCCCTGGCAATGAGTTCCATAGGTTGACTGTGCCTTATGTGAAGAAGTACTTCTTTATGTTTATTTTAAACCTGCTGCTTATTAATTTCATTGGGTGACCCCTGGTTCTTGCGTTATGTGAAGGGATAAATAACATTTCCTTATTTACTTTCTTCACACCATTCATGATTTTATGGACCTCTATCATATCTCCCCCAGTCCTCTCTTTTCTAAGATGAACAGCCCAAATCTTTTTAATCTCTCCTCATATGGAAGCTGTTCCATACCTCTAATAATTTTTATTGCCCTTCTCTGTACTTTTTCCAATTCTAATATATATTTTTTTCATATGGGGCGACCAGAACTGTACACAGTATTCAAGGTATGGGCGTACCATGGATTTACACAGTGGCATTATGATGTTTTCTGTTTTATTATTTATCCCTTTCCTAATGGCTCTTAACATTCTGTTAGCTTTTTTGACTGCCACTTCACATTAAGCAGATGTTTTCAGAGGACCAACCACAATGACTCCAAGTTCTCTTTCTTGCGTGGTAACAGCTAATTTAGACCCCATAATTTTGTATAGGTAGTTGGGATTTTTGTTTTCCAATATGCATTACTTTGTATTAATCAACATTGAATTTTATCTGCCATTTTGTTACCTAGTCACCCAGTTTTGTGAGATCCCTTTGTAACTCATCACTGTCAGCTTTGGTCTTAACTATCTTGAGTAATTTTGTATCATCTGCAAACTTTGCTACCTCAACGTTTACCCCTTTCTCCAGGTCATTTATGAGTATGTTGAACATCACTGGTCCCAGTACAGATCCTTGGGGAATCCTGCTACTTACCACTCTCCACTGTGAAAATTGGTCATTTATTCCAATCCTTTGTTTCCTATCTTTGAACCAGTTACTGATCTACGAGAGGACTTTCCCTCTTATCCCATGACTACCTACTTTACTTAAGAGCCTTTGGTGATGGACCTTGTCAAAGTCTTTCTGAAAATCCAAGTACACCTCATTGATTTGTATTTATAATGTATACTTGGCATAGGGTTGACAACCCCCCCGGACTGGCCGGGAGTCTCCTGGAATTGGGCTTGATTTCCCGCTACTGAAGCCAATCAGGGAGATTTTAGGCTGCTAAAAGTCTGGTCGCAGCAGGGCTAAGGCAGTCTCTGTCAGGAATTTGGAGGACGGGTGGAGAAAACAAAATGTAACTGACAGGGGAGTGAGACCAGTGAGCTCTGACTTCTCTCACACAACACTGAAGCATAATAGGGTCCATTTTATACTGACAGTGCTGAAAAGGATAGCCAGTTGCCTCGGGGTAGGCTGTAGTTCATAGAGGAAGGGCAAAGCTGTGAGAGGGTGAGCCAGTGTGATGTGGCTTACATAGACTATTTACTTTAGATTTGACCTAATGCTGCATGCAGGCTGCTGAAAGCAAAGGGAAATTAGTGCATTGACCACACAGGATTTAGTAACTATGCCTCCAGCTGCTGGGCAGGCAGCAACACTGGGGTGTTGCTATTCCTGGAAAAGAAAGAGCTGCTGTTGGTGGGTTTGCTAACCACGGAGTAACAGCTTCTTTTAGACATACTTGCCTGGTTAAAAAACAGATGAGAAAATAAACATTTGCTTCCTGGGTTAATATCAGTGTGAAAACCGATAGAATTCTGGAATCCAATTTACATTTTCATCACTGGTACCATTTGTTGATGTTCTGCATTTCACTCAGCTTGGAGGGGGGAAATAAATTAGTCCAGTTCACTTTCTGGCTTTTGTGCAGTGGCCCAATGCTGCAGTATGTGCATTGAAAACGCTGTGTCAGGCAGCCCTTAAGTCTTTTGCACTGAAGAGGTGTTAAGACTTACAGATCCACCTGAAAGGGCGTGCTAAGCTACCTTGGGCAGGTAGCCGCCTTCTCTGACTTATCTAGTCACTTGACCTGATGGTGGGGACCTGCATCATTTTTCCAGTGGAGAAAAATAGTATATTTAAGTAAAAGCACCATTACCGGTGTCACCTATTACTGCTGCAGGGGAACCATTGCATTTCTCGCACAAATCTCACCAATCAAGTGAGAATCCTTTTGTAAAAGCGTTAGCTTCGGGATGGGTGGGGGAAGGGCTGTTCAGTGTTCCAAGAAAAGCAGACGTTTTTCCTCCTAACACAAAACCTACATTCTGGGTCTAAATTCACTATCCTTTTAATTATCAACTACTCTGATCTGTGGATAAAGAGGCTGAATGGGAAAAGCGGCATACCAAGCTAAATACAGAACTCCTTACTCAGTCAGATCTCCCATTGACTTCAATGGGATTTAGTCTGGAAGTCCTTATTCCACTATCATTAAGGCAGCAAAACTCCCCCTAAAGTCAACA